CTAGGGTCAATATGAGTCGGAACTGACTCAACGACATCTAATAATAACAACAATAAAGAGGAAGATGTAAGCACCTAAGAAGCAATGGGCCAGAAAGCACACTTAGCCTTGGAACTCAGTGGAGGGGCGCTGGGTAGGAAGGGAAAATTTGGATAGGAGGCTATTGTAAAAGATGAGAAAGGGCATGTAGCCAGCTACATGTATGTATCATTACCTACTTCATCTGGGCTTCCCTCTCCTACTGTGGTCACATACCCACCATCTTAAGGGTTCCACAAACATAACAGCCATTACCTGAGGAATAAATTGCATTATCAGCCGTTGGCATGCTTGGGCTTATAAGTGTGGCAACAATAGAGTCCACAAGAAGGCAATGCCATAGAGCCGGGGAGTAATAGTTTTATAGAAATTTGTTTCCCTCTATTTCTCCATTCTGTTTTTAGGGTCAATGAAAGTATTTTTGCAGTTGAATGGAATAGCAGCTTCTAAGAAATAAAAAACAGATGTTAGAGGAAGGCATTCCAGGGTGAGTCAGGAGAAACCTTAAGGGCACTCTTTGCTCATGGCCTCCCCTACACTTTTCCTTGCTGTAATCTTGATAGATGCCCTTATCCCCAACTCTTCCTAGGCAACACCAAGCTGTTGTACATCTAAAAATGTCAAAATACATTAACTCCCAAGCCTGAGTGCCCTGTGGAAAGAAAAGGAAAGCTTAGCTTCTCTCAAAAGGAGTACTGTTATGTAATGGAACATATTTTTTCGTGATTCAGTTCTCAGATCTAGAGAAATATGTACAAATAAACTACTTTGGGGTGAATATTAATCATATAAAACCAACCTCTTAAAATAGAATTGAACTTAAATTTTCACAACTGTTTATTAAAGTTGTTCAGAATCAAGTGAAGTTGTTCTACATTAAAAAATGTTAATGCCCTTTTGGAAAGTTATAAGTATCATACTTCCTTGGAAATGTTAGCTGAAGTTTCTATAGGAACTTAACCACATCACATTCTTAACACATTTGTGGTATGCGTTTTTGGAATAACATGCAATTTATGGCACTGAATTACAATTGATGTGCAATTTATGGTATGTACCTGCATTTCTGATATATTTTTGAGATTATATTGACATGATTATGCACTAAATAGAGAAAATATATATAGGTAAAAATGTGTTTATATGGGAATATGATAACTATAATTCAATAATTTAAAAAATTTGGAAGCATTCCTTAATTTGTTTTAAAAGTTTTTATTATTTGCTCATGATTCTGTTGTGTGGGCGGTACCTGGAGGGATCCGCTTGTCTCCATTCCATGTGGTGTCATCTGGGATGTTTCACGTGGCTGGGGGCTGCTCGGATGACTTGGTTTGGGCTGTAAGTCTGGGCCCTCTGTTCTCCAGGTCTGCTGAATTCCTCAGTTGTCTTGAGTGTGACTTCTTCATGTGGTTAGTTAGCTTGGGTTTCCTCACACCATGGTGATCTCAGTTTAGTCAGACTTCGCAGAGCACAAAGTGTTAGTTGCCAGGCACTCTCAAAGCTTAGGCCTGACACTGGCACAGTGCCATTTTCACTGCATTCAATTGGTTGAAGCAGGTCCAAGGCCCCAGCCCAGATTCAATGTGAGACAAGCTCTACTCAAATGTGAATACTGGGAGACATGGTTCATGGGGGGACCATCTTTGGAGGCTAGCTACTACATCAATATTTATGAAAGAAATTCCATAAACATTAAACGGAGTCTATTTACTATCAAATAACCAAAAGCAAAGGAATGCTCAACTTAATTGCCTTTCACTACACAGAAGTCTACACTCCAATTTTTCTGATTTTTCCATGCTTTCTCCCAAATATGCTTCATTTAAATTCTTTCAGCACTGCAGTCTCTTCATTAGGTAAGTCCTAGCATGAGTCGCATTTAAAGTAAATGCTTCCAGATGTCTGAATGTCAAAACCCAGAAAAATTAAGATATAAATGATTTAATCTACATATTTGTTTAGAGTTGCCAACTTTGTAATTTTTTCTAATTGCAAAGTAAGAACATTAAAAAACTACTATAACTCTTGCTTCATAAAGGAAAGTACATTTAACGTTAAAAAAGGAGCAAAGAGAATTTCAGGACAGTCTGTTAAATTAGAACTGTTTATAAAAACTTACTATATGTCTTTATTCTTCTCATTTTACTGCAGGTCATAAAACTCCACCAAGGACTGCCACTGGCTCTTGGACCCAGTGTTTGGGAATCTCTAGAACATCGTATTCTGAACCTTGCTAAAAGCATTTCACATCTTTTCCTAGAGGCTGTAATCATAGTGATCACATTGCAAATTCTATAACTCCCTTTTATACATAGAATCGTTAAATCTGTGCTAATGTAAATACTACAATTGCAAAATACTTGTTTCTGAATTAGGATTGGATAGTGTTAGTATAACCAGTTAACTGGTTGCCATCAAGTCGATTCAACGCATGGCAACCCCATGCGTATCAGAGTAGAACTGTACTTCTTAGGGTTTCCAGTGGCTGATTTTTTTGGAAGTAGATCATCAGGCCTTTCTTTCAAGGCACCTCTGGGTGGACTCAAACTTCCAACCTTCAGTTAGCAGCCAAGTGCGGTAACCATTTGCACCACCCAGGGACCCCAGTGTTAGTATAGTCTGTAGTTCGAAGCGGGGGCTCTTGGGTTAGACTGTCTCTATTCCAGTCTGGGTCTGCCACCTTAGCAGCTGTGTCATGACCTTTAGCAAGTAACATAATCTCTCTGTACCTCAGTTTCCCCATCTGTGATATAGGCATAACCACAGGAGTGTTCTTTTGAAGTTTTAATGAGATATTATGTGTAAAGTACATGCTGTAATGCCTATCCACTCACCCCCCACCAGTTGCTGACCAGTCAATTCTGACTCATGGTGACCCCATGTATGTCAGTCAGAGTAGAACCGTGCTCCACAGGGTTTTCAATCGCTGATTTTTTGGAAATAGATTGTCAGGCTAGCACATGGTGAATACGAATGTATAATTAATACCACATTCTTATTATATTTATACATGGTATCAGTATTTTGCAATTGCAGTTAGGATCATAACATATAGTCTAAGGGTTACCTCAAATATCCATGATGCTTTTGAAAGAGTTTGGTCACAATTAGAAAACAGAATTTTAAAGTTGGCAGGACATTTTATGTCATATGATTCTATCATATTACAAGTGTATACTTTTTTATTAAAAAAATTTGATGTAGAGTCCATTTATCTTATGGTAAAAGACAATTAGTGGTGTGTTACAGTTATCAGACTACCTGATAGGTAAGTAAAATATATAGGCCCAAATATATTTCCAGTACCTTTGCCAGACTGGTTATCAGTCCCACTTACATTCATCGATACCACTGGTTTATCGTCTTAGCTACCTGCGCTTTTCATATGGGTCCAAATGGAAAGAAACATAATGTTCACAATTCTCTGAGAAACAACAAAATTCCTAAGAATACCTAAAAATGGTAATAAAAAAGGACAAGCAGGGCTTAGGAAATTTATTTTAGGGCAACTGCCAGATTTATTTTAAGCCCTATGCTTAAAAATAAATCTAATTCACATGACTGACTTAAAATACTGGAGCCAAGAAAAGTCACTGTAAAGGCATTTAATGAAGTACCTGAATTTTGTCTAGTTGTCTTCTTTGCTATGATTTTTGTGAAGACTTATTTCCTATCTTGATTATACAATGGATTTTATATCTAAATATTTCTAAGACATCTAATAAAATAAAAACAGAAATAGACATTTTCCAAACAACGTAAGATTTTTCTAACCTCTGACTCACACCATTAGGTTGATGGACTGTTCAGATGCTATACAATGCTTTTTACATAGAACAATTGGTTCATCTGTAGCATTTTCCAGTGTGGGGTAAAACATCCACGTTTTCTATTTCTAGAGCTCCTAATTTGACTAATGAGTAAAAATACTGATTAGAAATAAATTAAGGTACATTTCCTGCTTAACGCAGTGAAGAACATTATCAGCAGATTAAGTAACAAGTCTTTCATCCTCTCTCACACCACAGTCAATGAAGCAACTGAACTAGGAAGAAATGACCATTGTTTTTATGTTCTACATTAGTTTTGGTAAAATTGCAATGCTAAATTTCACGTAATGTACTGAAGTTTAAAAGACAGCATTACACATCAAGGAGGGAACTACAGTGGGGGTGTTAATGGTGTGAGAGAACTAGTATGAACGATTTAAAAATATCGACTTTTTTCTATGAAAAAAATTTTTTTAAAATTAAGTTGAGCTTCACTTCTATTGACCATATCTTAGAGTAAATATTTTAATGGTTCCCTGACACACACGCTTGGCTTGGAAGGGTTGAGTACTGCATTGCTTTGTAATTTTCCCACTGAATCCTAGACGGCTTAAACGTTGTGAGGCTCATGGTAGGCCGACGACAAAATACTAACGAAAAACAAACTCCACTGGTGTCAGAATGCTGGTGCCTGCCAACGAAAAGGCATCTTGCCTAAAAAAGAACCTACTTCCATAATAACAAAAACAAGAATAACAAACGCCTTTCTTGTCAGAATTCTCCGGACGGGCTGCAACCCAGAGGAAGCGGAGCTGGAGCAGCTGCCAGGACAGCGACCAGAGGCAGCGAGAGTTCCGCCCCGCCCAGACCTCCGCGGCTGCTCCAGCGCTCTGCGTGGCTCCCTAGAGCCGACCCGGGCGAGGGCGGTGCCACCCGCCGCACCCTCTCGGCTCCTCCCCGCTGCGCGCCTTCCCCGCGCGCCCGCGCGCCCGCGAGGCCCTGCTCCCGCTTGTCAGGCAGGACGGGCAGTGCAGAGGCGCCGGCGTGCACGCGCGCGGGGCGCCCGACTGGTTCCCCTTCCGAACGCCCGCGCCTCGCATGCGCAGTCCGCGCCGGCGGTCTCCGTTTGTTTGAACAGGAAGGCGGACATATTAGTCCCTCACTGCCCCCTTCGCCCCACCCCCCCCAGGCATTCGCTGCCGCGACTCGCCCTTTTCCCGGCCGGGACTGCAGCCCCTTTCAGAAGCTCCTCCATCAGCAGCTGCCGGGACCCGACTCTCGTCTTCCTCCTCGCCCGCTCTCCAGCCTTTCCTCTCTCCTAAGTGTCCATCGGGCACCGACCTCGCCCTGCCCCACCGGACACCGCGGCAGCAGCCCCAGCAGTGACGGGACAAAATGGGAGAGTGAGACTGTCCCGCGGGGACCACCTCTTAGCCGAGAAGGATCGGGACGTCTGGCCGGTCCAGAAGAGCCGGGGATGCGGAGCTAGAGCGTCTGCAGAGCCTCAGAGCGGAGCGGGCCGGGCCGGTGGCCCAAGCGGCGGCAGCAGCTGGCATAGCTCCTCACCCGCCCTTCGCTTTTCCCTTTCCTCTTCTCCCTCCCTTGCTTGCCCAGAGGGAGTCTCCACCCTGCTTCTCTTTCTCTCCCTCCTCCTGCCCATCTCGGGACGGGGAACCCTCCATTGCGAAGGCGGCCGGGGCCCGCTAGGCTGAAGCACCTCGCCGGAGCGACTAGGCTGGTGGCGACGGCTCTGTCGGCTGTCGTGAGGAGCTGCCGGGTGGGATGCGACTTTGGGAGTCCGAGCGGCTGTGGGTCGCTGTTGGCCCGGGGTCTGGAGAGCGGAGATCCCCTCAGTGAGGGGGAGGAGGGGGAACCGGGCGCACCTGGTGACCCTAAGGTTCCGGCTCCTCCGCCCGGCGGCTGCGAACCCACCGCAGAGGAAGTTGGTTGAAATTGCTTTCCGCTGCAGGTACAAGGGTATTGTCATAGTAGCAGCAACATGTCGACTGGGGACAGTTTTGAGACTCGGTTTGAAAAAATCGACAACCTGCTGCGGGATCCCAAGTCGGAAGTGAATTCGGATTGTTTGCTGGTGAGTAGCATTTGTTCTCTTGTGCTTGTCTGGGCTTCTGTATGCATTGCCTTCCTCTTGCTTTCAGTTTGGTTAGCTGCACAAGAAAGTTTCAGGTGTGCAGAGTCTTCTCAGAAAACACCAGATTTCTGTTTTCCGAAGAATCTTGAAGTACTACCCAAATCTCATGGCGTGGCCCTGTTTATTCTTTGACTAGCTTCGTCCCAGCTACTCCCTCAACTTTTAGCTCTGACTCAGTTCATGAGTACACAAACGACACTTATAAACTGCTGTTGCAGGCATCATATAAAAATTATCATGTTAAAGTTTACTAAGTATATAAATAGTGTGTTGAATGGCGGTCTTAGTAATAATTTTTCTGATCGGTTTGACTGTAATGTAGGAGAGACTACTTTCCATTTACAGCGATTTAGCTCCTAAGGGTTTAGTTTTTACAACTTGAAAGTGACAATAGAGAATTGATATTGAAGAAGTGATTTTTGAGCCAAAATGTCATAAGTGTCTTGGGCCTGAAGGAACTTTTTGCTGAACTGTTAAGTGTAAGAACCCAAGATTACTGATCATAGGTCATCACAATTTAACTTCTTTGATATTGTTGATTACAAAAGTACCACCCTTTACTGAACAACTACAGTTATTTAACAGTTCTAATTTAGTCCAAATAAAACCACATGATCTCTAAGATGAAAATCTCTAAGATAAAAAAAAAATTTCAGGGAGCAGGTGTATGGACAGGATTTTACAGCATCTTTAGAGAATTAGTTTTAGAAATACCCAGTATTGGGATTAAGATTGAGGGAACAAAATAATGCAATTCAGAGAAATATACCATTTTAAAATCTCATCTTCAGTTGGAGGAAAATTATGTAGATTATTTAAAATTACATGCATTTCAGTTACTCTAAATACCTGTGTAAGTTTTTAAATTAGTATGGTTTTACAAGAACGTTTCTCCCTTAAACTTTCAGCATTAAGCTAAGCATCCTTGACTGTGAAATGTCTCATCCACATTATGGATGCTCTTCATATTGAAAAACAAGAAGATTGATAGTACAATTTAAAACATTTTATTAAATGTAAGAAATTAGAACACAGCTTTCTAATAGGGATTTCCATAACTTTTAAGAAGTCTAATTCTCCTTTTACCCCATTTCCATGTACCTTTGCTTTTATTTTACTTATTGTTCTTATTCCATGAAGCAGCATGAAGGGAGGGTTTGGTAGTTTGTTTTTGCTTTAGTTGTCTTCTAGCCTCTTGCCACAACTTCGTTTGGTGGGAACCTCAACAAATATGATGTGTGGAGGATACAAGGAAATACAAGTCACGGACTCTTTCTTCATGAAATTTACAATTCTATTTAGGAAAACAAGACTTAATCCCAGGTGGCGTACATAGAAACAAAACAAAACACCTCTCAGATTAGAAAATATGTGATAAATTCCAGGTGATTGGTATAGGTAATATGTGCTCTTGGAAATTGAAAGGAAGAAGAAATCACTGTGAACTGAGAGAGCTAGAGTATGCTTTATGATGAAGGATGGATAGATTGAGGGAGAGGAGGATAACATGAATAAAGGGATGGAGACATAACTGGCCATCACATGTTTAGGGGAACAGGAGACAATAAATTTGGAAGGATATATCGGAGTTAGATTGTGGAGGGTTTGATTGCTTGACTGAGCAAGGAGTTTAATATTTTCTTCAGTATGTTGCATCCATTAAATGTTTATAAACAAGACTGCAGCATGGTGAATGAAGAAGATGAATCTGGTAGTTGTGTACAGGATGAGTTAGTGTGGAAAGAGATTGGAGATAGGCTGAGATTGGGGAGTTTTTAGTTCAGAAATGATAGAAGTCCAAAATTGGCATGAGAAAGGGGGAAGAAGAATTGATGGAATTAGATTAGCAGGGTTGGGGAAGAGAAGGGAGAAACAGAGAGGGAATAGTCAGATGACTCTAAAATTTTGAGTCTGGATTATAGGGAGGATAATGAAAACATGGGTAAAAACAGTTAGGTTGGGATTGGAAATTGATTGGGAAGAATAGATTTACAGATAAATCCAATTTAAATTTGTTGTGTTTGAGGGGATAGTGGAACAGCCATGAAGAAATGACCTGTAGACTATTGGAGATACGAAACCAAGCTCATCATTAAAGATAAAGTTTGGAAATCATTTGCCACAGAGGTGCAAGTTGAAACTGATAACAGTGATAAAGGGAGACAGTAGTATACAGAGAAAACAGGATAAAAGGAGAAGGTTGAACAAAGAGGAAGCACCACAGCCATTCAGAGTTAGGAGAGCCAGGTATCTTTTCTTGTAATCTTGGCCCTTTTTTCTGTTTAGTTCCACAATTGTTTATTTGATAGCTGTTATTTAAATTTTATCACCATCACAATCTAAACTTGAATTTTTCTTTGGAGAGCAAAAATCCTCTTTCCAGTTTTTTGTAGTGCCTAGCGTGAATTTTCTCTGCGTGATATTTTGTGCTTAACATTGAGCGTTCATTCATTCATTCATTCTGTTCTGCTGTTCAGAATGATCTATCAGATAACTTTACCTTTTTCAGTCTTTTTATTCTCTCTATCTGGACTGTGGACATCCTCATTTATTGCAGGGACAATACCACTTTCACCCTGGTTGCCTTTCTTTCTGTTATTTTGGCCTTTGTTCTTTTATTTAACTGATAGTTATTGAGTACTTATTATGTGATAAGGGCAATACTGTAGTGCTAGATATTTTTTGTAATCTCAAAAAAATAAGGTTGTCCAATTATGTTTATTCTTCACTTCCTTGACTAGATCAGAAATGGAAGTTCCCAATCCTTTTATTTTCAGAACACTTTGCCGGCAAGTCTTTTTAAAACACCTTACCACAAAACATCTCTTTTGCTGAGATGCTAGTAATAAATATTGTTGTTTTAGTTGCCGTTGAGTCGATTCTGACACCGTGTGTGCAGAGTAGAAGTGCTTCATAGGGTTTTCAAGGCTGTGACCTTTTGGAAGCAGATCTCCAGGCCTATCTTCCGAGGTGCCTCTGGATGGGTTTGAACCACCAACCTTTCCTCTAGTAGTGGAGTGCTTGATCATTTGTACCACCCAGGGACTCCTGTGATAAATGTTAGTAGTTATAAAATCATGTAGCTGGAAGAAACCCTGAGAAATGGGTATCCAACCTTTTCTTGAACACCTATAATTTTTTTAAAAAAACACACAAGTCTCATTTTCATATTATAAACAAATGCAAAAATAGTCTGCAAATCCTAAGATAATAATATGATAACCATTCAGTTGTTTCCTAGATCATTTAAATTACTTAGTCTTGGTTTTCTGCAAGTGAGATTCTTTCCAGTGGCCTTATGATTATCTTTCTTACTGTCCATGTTAAGGTTTGTAAGATTATCAAGAAGTGTTTTCCTTTTTCCAACTTTTTTAGGATTGTTTCATCTAGGGCTTATAACAATTTCTCAGTAGGTTTTGTGTACCCGTGAAGAGTGAGGGATAGAGTTTAATTAAGTTTGTTTAATTTTTCCAGAGGAAAAAATGCATGATTCTTAGAAAGGAAAAACAGAAGTGGGTGGGAGGGCTAGGGATATATTTATCTTGAAGTTTGAAGTAGATTTCATGAATATACAGCTATCTTGCCTGTAGCATGTTTAGCACACTGTTTCAGGATGACAGTTAATCAAGAGCATGACCTTTCTTTCCAGTTTTTATTTAGTTGGTGGAGGTGTCACAATGGTCCGGTGGTAGAGAGAGAAGGGAACCAATATTGGTTGAACAATGAGTTCTACTATCGTGCCTCCCCTTGGTGCATATTTGTTACCACTTCTCATTAGTCAGTTTTTCAGAATGTGGAAGGCAAATGTAAATGAAGTTTCCTATGTTTTTGAGTTTTTCTTCCTTTAAATTCTCTTTCCTGAGCTTCCTTTTCCATCTTTCATTGCTAACTTCTTTTTCCACCGTTTAATCTTACAGTTTCAACTATTGTCATCTCTATGCTCGTGATATTCAAATCTTGATTTTTAGAGTTTTATCTGATTTCAGATCCTAAATGTATGTATGATTGCCTACAGGCATCTCTACTTGCGTGTCATGTTATCACTCAAATTTGTCATATCCCGAAGTAAGCTTTCTCCCATATACTTACCTCTTTTGTCATTAGTGCCACTACTATACGTGTCACTCAACTAGAATTTTTATTGTGAGCTTTGACCATTTTAGGCCACACATATGCCACTTTACTCTTGGATTATTACAACAGATTTTGGCTAGCATTCTAAATTCTGTATTATTGCTGTATAATTGAATTGAACACATTTGGGGTTATGTTACTGCTTGTGGAATGAAAAGACCTGAGGTCATGAAATGTTTGGGCTTTAAAGCTGTGTGCCTGCCAGTGTTCATAATTTTTTTAATTAATAGATGTTGCCAATATCAGTTGCATATCTGGTTAGTTTGGACCAGACTGTTCTGATGTTAAAGAGCCCTGGTGTGACACAGTGGTTAAAGCAATCAACTGCTAACAGAAAGGTCGGTGATTCAGAACCCCCATTGGCTCCGTGGGAGAAAGATGTGGCAGTCTGCTTTCATACAGATTTACAGCCTTGGAAACCCTATGGGGTTGCTGTGAATCGGAATCGATGGCAGTAGGTTTGGGTTTTGATGTTAACATGGTGCAAGAAATTTTTTAAAAAAGAGATTATTCTTCTAATTTGTTGATTCATTCATCAAATCTTTATGTAGGGTCTAAACATGGGCTGAAATCTAGGCTCTGCCATGTACTTGCCTGATAGTTTGAGTTATTTTAACCTCTTAAAGGTTGATGCATCTTCAGGAAAATGGGGAGATAATAGTACCAGATTATTGTAAGAATTAAATAATATAAGCAAAGCAATTATCACAGTATCTGGTATTTAGTAAGTGTTTGATAATTGGTAACTATTATTATTTGTCCTGGAGCCCTGGTGACACAGTGCTTATTAAGAGCTTGTCTGCTAA